CACCAGCACCACCACCACCAGAACCACAAGCACCACCAATAGTTGACCAACGAAGCGCGCAGGCGCGCAGTACAAATCTTCAACTTCAACTCTCCAACTCCAACTCCATTTCGACTATGTTAATTAGCTACAATGTGATTTCTGGCTTGAAGGCCTCCGAGTTGGCTCTAACCATTGTTGCTCTGAGTATGATTAATATGCTATTCTAAGTGTAGCTTCTGCCACGGCCTGAAGTGGGCGCATTAAATTCCGCTAAATGCTTTAATAATATGCCTAGGCCAGTTACTAGCTTCTAGATTCACTTGAAGTCAATTCCCTCTCCCTCTCTCTCTCTCTCTCTCTCTCTCTCTCTCTCTCTCTCTCTCTCTCGCTCTCTATCTCTCTTCCCTTTTTATTTTTCTTTGCCCCTGCTCAAAAACAATGGCGTTAAAATTAAAAATGAAATTTAATTTTATGACCTTAACAAATTTGCAATCAACATAATTTTTAGTCGTAGATGTTATGACTTAAGGGTTTTATGTGCTGTTGCTGTTGGGGGCATGGTGCGTGGTTCATATTTGAATATTAGTTGGCCGTCTTTAGCCACTCATTGTGATGAATGGGAATGGTGTCTTTTGACCGGGCCCAGTGTTCTGCTTCGTTGCCACATAATTTGTGGGAGGTGAAAATTGTATTGCGTTAATGGCTGAATTTAGAGTAATTAATATAGGCGGAAGGCTCTAAAGTTATACACTTTATTTGCCTTACATTGTATGCAAATCAACAGGAATTCGATATCTGTTTGTATATGTGATCCCTTCATGCCAAAAATTTTAAACATGATTCCAGGTTTTCAGTGTGTTTTGAATATTTTTTCTGGATATGAAATGGTAATACGACTATATCCTTTCTTAGGTTTCGCTCTATTAACTTTATTTTTTTTATTAACTTTAAATTCTCTGAAATTCAAATACACCCAATTGACTTCCTTGATTTAAGCGATTCATTTCGTAGATTCACAAAAATTGTTATTTTATTCAAATGCTTTATTCTCGGAATTGAAATAATTTTGATTATTTGATATTGTTAGTCATCACCCTATCCTCCAAATAAGCAGCACATATGTATGCATTTGTGTGTGTAAATATATCAGTACTCGTGCGATGCGCCGTATGCTAAGAATCCCATTGTCGCTTTCAAAATCAACAAACTGTAACTAAACTTAAACACTTGGCACACACTCAAGAGTCCACAAATGTCACAAATACATTTATGAATCTTGTACTTGTATTCGCGATAGCCACAAGAGATGTGTGTGTATGTGTGTGGTGGTGTTGTTGTTGTGAGTGTGTGACACGCAATATGGCGATCAGAGAGGCGTTAGTTCTGACTCTGACCCCGCGGCGTGGAGTTGCTGGAAGGTGGAAGAGGGGCGTCTGCATGCGCACTCAAATGTATCTACAAGTCAAATATGCATTAAATGTGTCATTTTGTGAGGCAACAACCTACGCGCGGCACGAGCAAAGACGCAACTTGCATGGCCAGGCGAACTGAAAAGCGAGTGAAGCACTCACCAGGCCAACTGACGGACGGACAGGCGGACTGACGGAGTGACGGACTGTCTGTCAGGTCTGTCTGATCGGTTGGTTGGCTGGGCTGAGGTTATATGCCGACATCAGCATGATGTTGTTGCTGTGCCTGTTGCTGTTGCTGTTGCTGTATGCTATGATGATGATGAACATGAATCAACAGCCATACAACGGCAACAATGGCAACTCTTCAAGCTTGGACAAACATTTCACGCATCAAGCATTTTATTGTGTAGAAATATATTTACAAAAAAAAACAAAAAGAACTAAAAACTAAAAACAAAAATCAAAACGAAGAAAAAATAAACACAGAACTGAAAATAGAACACATTTTTCGCAAATATACGTTCAACAATAGTCCATGGAATCCATTTGACTGGTGTTGAAAGGTAGTTGGCCTTTCTTCCATATATCTACAACATTGGTGTTAAGGGGCTTCCAATTAAACCCGAGAGCATATGGGTTTGACCATATTTTAAGAAGACGCATCGCATCGCCTTGTAGTTGAGAGAACAATGCAAAGCCAGCGATAATAAAAACAATTTTGCGTGCAAATATCTAAGATACACTAGCCTAGATGCGCTCTCAACCAAAACACCCAAAGACCCTGGCTGTCCACAAACACACACACACGTAAAGACATAATCATATGTGAGCTATCTGTGAGTTATTGTATCTTGCCGTTTGTACAAATGATGAGTAAGCGTTAGCAGCAAAAAAAAAAACAAATCGATTCATGAAAATCGAAAAGAAATAGAAAAAATCTCTACAATATGAGAGTAGGCACATTGAAAGTGATGAACTCAAGCAAATCGCCACATAACACCTAAATGTAATGCGTTCCAGAATGCAACACAGTTGTAAATCACTCAACGTACTCAAATGGTGAGGGGAGTGGATGGGGGGTAAGGGTGGAAGAGGGTTAACTATGGATTATATGTAGGCATGTGGCTCAGAAATCGCTGCCCGATGACGAAACTCAAAGCATTTTCAACTTTTTTGCGCTTCGTTGACTTCGCTTGTAGTAGGTGTTGTATTTGGTGGATGGAGCTTCGAAGTTGTAGGTGAGGGCAGAGACAGCTCAAATTAAAACAAACTTTACAAAAGAATACACACATACCCCAAAAGAAGAAACGACCATAAAAATAAATTCAAGTTAGTAGCTGAGCGTTCATGACACTGTTTCTTGGCTCTTCGACTGTTAAATTTGGAAAACCTTTGCAAGGCATAAACTCTATTTTAATGGGCACAATTAATCATAATTTGTTTTAGTTTTGATGGTTGTTTGGTTATTAAGTCGCTCTTAATGCCGCATTGCAAACTAGTACACACAAATCCGCCAGACGAACACCTGGATGATATAAATATCCAAAGTTAATTTGCATAACTGCCATTGCACTTAAGGACACATCCCTGAGAGCCAGTCAAAGTGTCAACAAGTCATGCACTCTAGCCAAGATAGCCAGCAATTCCAACAATTTTCACACAATCTCAAAGCTCCATGGATACATGTAGATAAATTCATGTATGCAAATGGGCAAGCAGAGAGACAGAGGAGAGAGGGAGAGGAGCGAAGGGGATTGCTGGAAGTTAGCTAAAACATCAATAATATGTAAATGCAGCAAATTAATGACTGACAAAAAGACAATCGAAACGAATTAAGCAAACAACCTACAAAACCAGCAGGAGGGTACCAGATCCAAACACCGCTCGATGACAAGCCGACTCATATAATTTGTATGCGGGCAACGGGCAACGGTCCGATCCGATCCGCAAGATGAATAAAAAAAAGAAAAGAACACTGTCACAGGGTCTCTGAGTTCATTTAGAATATAGAAATTATTGAATCAAATTGAAGACCGAGCCGAGCCACACAAACTAAAAGAACCGAGCACTGACGACGATTTACGATTAAGCATCAATGTAGATTTTAGTCTAGATTTTGTGGCTGATCGCTCTTTGGTCTTGTGTCACTCACTACAAATAGAAGCTGCACAGCTGCATGAGAAAGTTTGCCACAATGCAATAAAATGTATAATTAGAAGATTTCAACGTTAAAACTGTTTGAAATTTTGTTGCTCACTAATTCAATTCTAATACATTGGTTAATTAAAAGTCCTGTAAATGCTAAACTTTATCGATCTATGAAATTGTGTAAATAGACACAAAAAACTGCATTATAATTTATAAGTAATTTATAACATGATTTTCATTATCATTGAGCACAACCGAAGGTAGCGTCTGTCCAATTCGTTGTGCTCCTTTTAAAGATTAGAAAAATTAGTTTTTTTGTCAAACTTGTTGATTATCTAATTAACATCGCACACTTATGGCTTCGAATATGAAAATTTCCTTAACTTTTATGGTCATAATGTGTCAAAGACCATAAATTTCATTAATTTATAGTAATTGTGAACAGCAGCAGCAGCGACTGGGCCATAATATTGTGAGAGAGCAGACGACATCGGTCTCAGCCTAACAGTAACTGCAGCTTCAGCATGTTGTGGGCAGAGGCTACGATTATTAATAAATTTGTGTGGCGCATGCTACATCATGTTAACACTGTGGCAGCAACGCAAAGAGTAGCTCAGCAGATGCAGCCACATAGATACAGCTACGGCTACGGATACCGATACAGATACAGATACAGATACAGATGCAGATACAATGCAAAAGATACAATGTATTAATGATGCGTCGCTGTCGCTCCAATTTGTACGGCGTCGCATTAAATAAATGTATCTCAAGCTGTGCTGAGGGAGAATGCCATATATGTAAACAATTTAAATAGATATTTAGATATGCTGTCGTCGCGGTCTCCGGCAGCCTACGCTGGCGCCATGCGCACCGCAGACACATTTAGCTATTTGTTTTAAAATTTAATTTCCGTTTCAATTTCAATTTCACATAAATAAATTAAAAGCCAATCCAAATGAACACGAATACAAAAAAAAAAAAAAATATATATATATATATCAACGATCGCACTCCACACTGAATGGATTGCATTCCACATTAGCGATTAATAAAGATCTGGATCTGGCCATTACGGGCAAGACAGATATCGCTGCCATACATAATCGTAATTGTTGATCGGGGCCGTAATCGTAATCGTAGGTGCCTTGATTGCCTTTCAAGCAAATTATTGCCGAAATAACATTCCGCCGGATGCACAAAACATATGCCAATCCATGTATCTACCAGATACAAAGATACAAAGAAACTTGTATCGCCTAAAATTCGATGAGAGGATGTGCCATAAACAACTTTGATGGCTTAATGGGCAGATCTTCATGAGCAATGGCCAACATCGTTTGTCATTGATTCAACACTAATTACACGACTAATCCGATATGTATTTGTGTATTTGTATTTATGGATATGAACAGGCAGGTGGTGTAACTGTTTATCTTATGGATAGTGTTTGCTTACCGCTGTGTGGCATGGCGGGTGTTGGGTTGTGGTAGCTGTTGCTCTTATCACTGCTCGCTGTTGATGTCCCATATTCTATGGACAGGCGACTAGCAATGCTGTTGTTGCTATTGTTGTTGGACACGGGCGTCGTGGCTGGTGTTGCTGCTGGGTAATTGGCTACCTGATGGTCTGATCCACAGACCGAGGCGGTGGTGGTCGATTCATAGGAATTGCCATGCACAATATCCTCATTTGGCTTTTCACAATCTGCCATCGGAAATTCAATTAGTTAAACAATATTTTCATTATTTTAAATAGAATCGACCCAAACTAAAAGCATTCTTTTTTTTTGCGTCAATAAATTGTTAAAAATGGTTACACTGGCTATTATGTGAGGTTCAAACGTCAGCTAAATCAAATTGCGACCGGTCCCAGACCGGAAAGGAAGCAACAGGCAACAGTTCATAGAACCCGTTCACTAGTAACTCTCTAACAAAAGACCCCACACTCTCCACCCAACCCTCAAACAACTTTAGTCCTTGATTTCGTTAGCGTTCGCTCGGCTGGCCAGTAGACTTCCGCCAACTCAGTTGCCAATTTGCATTCTAGCTTAAGAACAGGTAAATTTGGTTTGGTATTGCATTACTACTGCTTGTGAAAGGGTCTTCATTGAATTAAGGCATGTGCAAAATTTGCAAATAATGTTTTAAAAAGGACAAAACTTGTTAATAAATATATTTGTTATATATGTTCCTAAATAAGGAAATAACGAATCAAATACGGTTAGAACGATCCCAATTATTAATAAATCTACTATCATCGATATCTGACAAATTAATGTTGATACAAGTGTCTGAATATTCAATAATCTTTATAGTTTATACAGCCCTCATGACTTTAACCTTGATTTGCTTGTAGGATATTCAGATATTTCCTAAAAATTCAAACTGTAAATATATAAAATTAATCTTAAATTATGTGAAACTATAGGGGAGTCATTTAGCTTTGTAGTTTATTGCCGATTGACTTGGCAGAGTGACAGACTGATTGAATTAATGTCCGAGTGGCGCCAATGTCTGCTGTTCTATGCTGGTCACGTGCTCACCTTTTTGTAGTATATCCAAATGTTCCCAGAGAATATCGCCTGTGAATGGCGGCGTTATGGCCAAGAATTTCTCTTTGCCCAGCTCGACCATTTCCCGGCCGGTCATTTTGCAGAATGGCACCATGGAGAGCAGGGAGAACTCATTTTTGGCCCAGTTGAGCCAATAGATGACATGCTCCTCCGTCCAATCGCGGGGATCTACAAAAAAGTGTAGCAAGCAAATAAAATACATAATTAAATTAATTACTTTTTCGAATGCCACGTTCATTGGTTGCCTAATTAATTGTTATTATACGTATTCTTATTATTGTTGTTGTTGATGTTATTGTTGTTATTGTGCGTGGGAGCGCTGTAAACCAAATTTCGTTTCTATTTAAAGTCTATTGCTGTGGGAAACGATTAATATTCATTTATGATCACGTCTTTGTATGGGACTGTTTGTAAATTATTATTTTATTGGCGTTGCCAATGCAACCAATTGAAATTTCGACAAGTGCATAAGAGTTGAATTGTGTTTGCCACTTGGGAAAGTTGTTTTTTTGTTGTTGTTGTTTCTTTTCTACTAGCTGTTGCTCTCCTTACCTTTGGTTATATTAAAGTTCTGCACCTCCTTTTCCCAGGAGGCAAACGAGGCTTTCAGCACCTCGTTCACCTTGCGATTCGTGCCAGGTGTGAGGGGTGGCATCGTTGTGGGCCCATCTGCAAAATGAGTCGAAAGAAATGAAATCAAAAATTATTATTTGTTGTACATTGAATTAAGTCATGTATATTAAGAGGGGTTTACTCTAGTCCTATATATCTGTATCTGATTAATTACCTCGCAACTTGACATTGCCAGTGTGCAGCTGTTGCAACTTGTGCGCTTTCAGATGAAATTTACCCGTTAAGCATTGACAATTATTGCTAAGGAATGCTTGACTATTGGTGTTGCTGTAGTTGTTGTTGCTGATGCTATTGATATTGTGATTGTTGCAGTTGTTGCTGTTGTTGTTTGTATTGTAGTTCGCTGAGCGCAATGGCGGCAACATGCGACTATCATTCCAATCGATCCATTCATTTGTCATAATTTTGCGGGTTACAACTCGTATCTCAACTGTCCAATGAGTATGTTGTGGTGGGTTAAGTAGTATTGTGCTCTTGGGTGTCAAAAGTCAAAACAATTTAAGATGACTCCGATCATTCACGACGCACTCACTCAAGGGTGGGCAGACAACGTTGGAATAGTTGGATTCAATTGCTTTCAATTTATTGGCGTGAAAATCAAAGCATCAACAAAAATTAACCCGAAATGTCAGTGAAAGTCGCGACCCTTTCTTCCACAAACACGCCGTTTGATCTCGCAGATACAAATGTATCTAGTGATTGGTTCGCTCAGTTACTTGCTTTACTTGGGGCGCTGTGTGCTGCCTTGTGTGTTTGTGATTTGCAGCGCACAATAATTTAAATTGATGGCAGAACACGCTAATTAGTAATAACTCATCGCAGCACTATTATTAACTTATAAGTTGTCATTATTGTCTTGACAGCGAGTGTTGGTTTTATCAGTCGCGTTCTTTAATTTTGATAATTTTTTTATTTTTTTTTTAATAAACACACACACGCGCACATACACACACACACAGCACAGCAGCGTATAGAAGCAAAGTGCGATAAGATTTATTTAAATTTATTTAAGTTAAATTTACGTTGCACAATGCACAATAAAAAAAACAACACTGAAATAATTTTTGTAACTTGTCTGTGGTTCTCTGTGTATCTATTGGATTGCTGGATTTGTGAAGCCAAACTGAAACGAAACGATCGCCTCGTCCGTTGGGTATCCTAAACAACGAGAAGAAACGAGCCAGAGAGACACCAATACACGCGCAGAGAGCGCCCAGAGAGCGAGAGATATGAGTGCGCAACAAGTGGAATTGAAATGCTCGCCTCATAAATCTCGGAGCGAGCGAAACAAAATGGAATTCATTCACAAACGAAACGGTTTGAGCGTAATAAGTGGGAGAGAATTTGTGTTTATATATGCATGCGTGTGCATGAGTGTGTGCGTGTATGTGTGTGTCTGTGGAACGGAAACGGCCATCACATCGTGCCGACAACAACAGCAGAGCAACAGCTACACCTAGTGAAACAACACAACAACAACAACAAGCTGTTTGTTTAGCACTGAGAAAAAAATGTGCACGAAACGAAAGCCAAAGCAAACAACAAATAAAAGCAGGCAGGCAAAACGGCAAAGGCTGGCAACAACAGGTGACACTGCGTACAGGGTGTAACAGGTGTACAAAGTTCAAAAGCTCTCTCTCTCTCTCTCTCTTTCTCTCTCTCTCTGGCAGTGAAAAAAATAACTTGCAACAACAAGTTGAATAATCAAGATCAAGTGACCAACGGCTATAAAGTAGCAGCAACAATTTTTTTTTACGAAAGAAAAAAGGAACGTATTAATGCCTGTGTAACTCACATATGGCAAATCTACTCAAGTTTCCTTCTTGTGTGCAGCAGGCAAACAACAACAAAAACAACAGCAGCGTATTTATGAATGAATTTCTTATGTTGCCTTACACGCGCATTCTCTCTCGAAAACTCCAGCAACAGACAATGAGACAGCAGCAAGAAGTTGTAGAAGGAGAAGGAGAAGACAACGACGAAGAAGAAGAAGAAGCGATTCGTCGTCGGCTCGTTTTCTTTACATCAAAACTATATATATAACAACAACAACAACAGCAGCAGCAGAAACAACAATGATCGACGTCGGCGTCGCCACTTCCGCTGCTTCCGTTCGCTTTGCTTCGCATTCGTATCGCTATCGAACGAACACAACAAGTCCCGTGGTGTATGTGAATGTGATAAAGCAGGAGAGCCAAGAGCCAAGACGAAGACCAAAGCGCAGAGACTCGCGTACAAATTATAAGTGCTATATACGTACATATGTATGTGTGTATCTGTGAGTGCGCGAGAATTTAGAAACGTCAGATAAAAACGGCAAAGGCCAACAGATAAAGCTATTATGACAACGCGACCAGGTAAATTTATGAATGAAACAACCGAACGATGAATGCGGCGTCGACTTTCTGCGACTCTATGAATGAATTGAAATTACGTGCGGCGACGACGCAAGCAGCGACGCGACGTCGTTCAGATCATTTGGTCATCATTATCCCAAAACCGCATATGATTGGCGACAAACGGCAAAATCGAAGTCGAAGTAGCCCTGCCACATCAGCAAACACATAAATATGCATTTAAAAAGCTATCTACACAATACATGTGGATGAATGTATCGTATCGGCATCAGATACAATGTGCCCGTCTTCGAGGTGGGCGCATCTGCGTGTCAAGCAAATTGCTATGTCGCTAATCGCAAGTGACTACAAATGTTTGACATTGCACATGTTTATGTTTATGTATGATATGTGTGATGCCGATGCCACATGACCAGCAGTTGGTTGGCCAAAAGGGAAAAGCTCTTTAAAACACAAGTAGTTACAACATGAAATTACAAAACGTCTGTGCGTGTCTGAAATTCATTATGTGCCCCGGCCAGCTTTGTCTGTACGAATCTTGATGGAGTTCCGTTGGTGGGCCACACACACCAAAACGACAAACAACTTGGGTGTTAATGACTAGGCTACATTCCTAGTCGATACTTCTTGGACCTTCGCTTGCATGCGATCTGATGCGGTTGGTGATCACTAGCTCACACTCACACACACACACACATACACAAATAACTATGCTTATGAGGTGTTCATTGTTTGCTCTTGACGATGAACTGGGTCAATAAAGTCATTACATGCCGCACGATCAATGAAAATGTGAAGACTTAATCCGAATATGATTGAAATTTGCGGCCTAACGGAAACTTAAAGTAAAACCAAAACGGGAAATTCAGAATTTGCAAATCTTTGGATACTCTTGACATGGCTAAAACTGGCTTTCAATTTCAATTTTCGAGTGTACCAGTTCTCAAAATAATTAAGAGGCACTTGAGTTTAAATGACTCTGTAAATTATTAATACAAATTTACTTATTTTTCTCACCGAGGCTAAAATCCGAGCATCGCTGCAATTTATATAAGAAATAAATATAATTGATATTTGATTATTTTAGTGACTTACTAAGTTTGGTCTACACTACAAATGTCACGTAGTCCATGCTTAAAAAATCTCGATACAAAACTCTACTTATGCAAAAGGCATCGTGGTCTCGGTGATTCACAGCATTTGACTTCTAATCTTTAATTTTTTTGTTTTTGTATATATATAAATGCGCAATTTACGCTTATGCCGCTTATCAAATTTCCAAGAAGGCGCATAGAGGCAGCAATATGTTTAAAAGTGGCCATAAAGAAAATCATGCGCGCACTCGCAAAAAATTGTTCAGTAAGGTTTTTTTTTTGCGATAACTTATCAAGTTGATAAGGCCAACTGACACGGTATACTACCGAGGGCAGTTCCGAGTACATTTCCGAAACATAGTTATAATTAGGCCACGCAAAGAACTCCACTTTAATCTGAGATCCAGATGTAACCAGAGACTGTCTGTACATTTATTTATTTACATATATATGTATGCGTTTCTTCGATTAATGTGTAATGTGAATATGGATAAACATATGTGGGAGCATTTCAGTCGTTTGTATTTTGGCCCGCGTGTGAACAGTTTATCTTCCGGTTTTATAACGCAAATATGATCGTTATCGAACATAACGGCATATTGGGAACTCATTAAACGTGATTGGCCTTTTTTTTAGCATTTGAACGTTGCACCCAGCTAAATTTGAAGATAGAGAGAGCTCGATTAAAATTGTAGAGAATTAAATACATAAGTATGTGCATACTATAAGTATACAAACAAAAAATCCCCCAGAAACAGGAAAAGATTAATTTCAAACTTTTAATGGAGCATGTGAAAGTTTAAGATCATTTAATTCGTTATTTATAAATTTATTTTGGTTATTGCCTGAGAAATATCAGAAATCAATTCATGTCCAGTAAATACCCTATAAATCCTGCAACCAGAGTATTTTCGTTCAGACAATAGAAAATATATTTTACAAAATAAAGCGCAACCAATACATATATATGGAAAAGAAATATAGATAAAAAATAATGTAATAAGAACACTTCTTCTGATATTGCCAAGACTAAAACTTCTTGGTTCTCACTTCCTTGCAGACATATTGGAACTCTCCGATATCCTACCAAGGCAACAACCCAGTTCAAACTACAGGATGGATGGAATGTCAAATCTGCGTTTATTGCCGGAGTAGGAAAACTGCCAATAAGAATCAAATCGGTCGATGGGGGTTTCTCACCCTAAAAACTGCCCAACGTACCCTAACCTAACCATAAGTGGAAGTAATTATATTATATACTATCAAAACTATTTTATTATCGTAACAACTAATATTTATTTAATTTGCTGCCATAATTTTTAACCAGTCATATCAATTAAAACATTGTCTCGCACATCTTTAATGGGTGTCCACCCGACAGGTTGGAGGGCGTGCAACTAACTACTCACAATTTGATTCCAGCCAGATAAAATTAGCAACGGCAAATGGCAGCCAAAGGCGAACAACCAAACAACAAAACAACCAACCACAAAGCAACGCAACTCATAGAAGGCAACATCATTATTAAGTATTTGCTATTGACTTCCGGTCGTTAGATATTTCATTACCAACTTCATGGGGTCGGAGATGAAGCTGAAGTTGGGGCTTCTGTTTGCACAGAAAACCAAAAGTCAAAGAGCTTAATTCTATTAAATTGCAAATATAGTTTGTGTCTGTTCCCATGCTGTGTGCGAGTTCGATAGGAATTAAATTGTTTAAATATAGTTCGATTACAAACTGTATTCAGGTAGTGTTATACGTATATATAATTGAAATGCTACTCTTAACTCAATTTCCCTTGACAGCCACTGCAACGTCTTCGGTCTTCGTCTATTTTCTACACCCTGCCCACATTGCAAATAATGTTACTTCTTTTTATCTTCAATGTCCTTTGCAATCCAGCTTCAGGTAGAAATGACTTTGGCTTCGGGCTAAACAAGGCAACTTTGTGGATTTTTCAACTAATTTGATTCAACTCCGATTGAAGTTGATTGCAACAGCTTTTTAGTTTAATAAGTCGAACCAAGAATAGTCGCTGACAATCGAATGTTGTGCATTTAATGCTTAAACCGTAAATTATGTCAATAATGGGGCGACATAAAAAAGTTTATGTAAATACGAAGTCAAACTGAGGCAAAATGTGACAAGTTCTTGGAAAAGTTGTGAACATTAAAAATAAATTTGAAAAGTGTATGGGCGACTATTTGAACGCTCTTACAAATACAAATATATCAGTGTCTTCAGTATTAAAGTATCTAAATATTAAAGTTATCTATTATTACTACTATTGTCAATGTTTCAAGACAAAAATAAAGTATAAATTGATAAAAATTATAAACATTTTTTAAGGAAAGAGTATTTATAATTTTATATGGCAACAATATAAATATGTTTAGCATTTGTGTTTTTTGCCGTTTTCATTTCTACGAAAAGCCTTATGCAGTTTAATTTAATTAATGTTATACAAGAAATACAATAGCAACAGACATTCAACTTCAGTTCTGGATAAAACGAAGAACTTCAAAATTATATTGAAAGCGAATAAATCAAATAATGTGCATCCAAATTACGACAAAGCATATAGTGGCGTAAAAATAAATATGTATGCATGACAGGCTGTCTCGGTGTCTGTCTCTGGCTGGAGTCGATAGTGGCTGTGGTGGGGTGTTTCTTGGTTTATTTTTTATTTTTTTCGATATAAAAATAATTGCAGGAATTGTGTGAGACAACGCTGACGTCGTTTGCCTGACAAGCAGCGCCAAACCACCGGACAGATACTTGTAGTTGTTGCTGTTGTTGGCTGTGGGCCGTTGGCTGATGGCTCTTGCTGCTGCACTTTTGCAGCTGAAACAGCAAAAGCAGCGCGCAAGTGCAAAGAACAGTGCAGCAGCAGCAGCAGCAGCAACAGGAGGAGCAGCAAAAGCAGCAGCAGCAGCAAAAGACAGAGAAAACCAGTGAAAGATGTGGCCCAGGCAAAGAGCTGAGTTGTCGTATGAAACTTACTACACCGGAAATATAAAATTACACACTCAACACTTAAATTGTGTATGCCCGTCTTGGCGAACCTGTGTGTGTGTGTGTGTGTGAGTGTGCATATATGTGTGTGTGTGCGCGATTGTGTGTTTGTTTCTCACATGTTGCATGCTGCAAGATTCAGAGAGGATCGCCCGTGCGTGCCCCGCAAACAGGGTGCAAAACGATCGAGCCCAATACGAACGTTTCGAATATTTGGAGTAGAAGACAATCATTCAAAAAAATGATATAATTAATTGCCATTTTGATGAGGGTAGCAGCCACAGAGAAACGAAAAATGCTGCACCTGAGCCGTGTGATAATTGTCCTTTTATATACACATTACTAATTAATTATGCTCAAGGGATTTATTTTTATATTTAATTCAATAAGAAAATGTTGTGAAGGTATCAAGAAATTTAAATTCAATTTAATATTATACATTAATAGACGTACAATTGACCATCAATCCCCATTATGATATTCTACAGACCATGAAAATTCGCAGAACTCAAAATTCCCACGCACTTGAACTTGAAATTCTTTTTGGCGAGCATTTTACATACATCTGTGTTTTAATATATATGCTCATATTTGTTTTAGGCAAAGATGAAATAAAAACCCGAAAAAATGAATGGTTCGACTCGAATTACAAAGACACACTCGTCGTCTCTGCGGATCCTGTGAGCGGTACACAATGAGGCTGCCTTTCGGCTTTTACCTGCTAATCCCCCCAAAAAGAAAAGGGCTCTTTAAGAGACTGAGTGAATTGTCGAAGAGGTGAATACCCTGCATGCCGGTTTGCGGTATGCTCGACTTGCTGGCCAATGTGCGAATCATTGCGAATGCAGACGATTTAATCTGAGAGCAACTATCACTTACCGAGGTACTCGTACATTTCAATGCCTCGATCAAGGACTCGTCGCGTTGGCGTCTGGCTCCATGAGTCGTGGGAATACGAATATTTCTTGGTTTCCCTTTTTGTGTGCCTTTTTTTTTTTGGTATTTTTGGGCTAAATTCTCAAGCTGCTGCTGCTGCTGCTGGGGCTCTTGTCTCCCCTCAATCTTTAAGCACTGATTTCATTTCATTTAATTTTTTACTCAACTTCTTTTGCGCTACTCCCACTAAGGCTGTCCGAAACAAATTTGAAAAGAGTCGCCAGCCAACTGCTTAGTCGCCCGACCAGGTAGCCACTCGAGCTGGCCAAGTAAATGGTTAGCAGTTACGGTAGCCGGTCCCAACGATAGCTGATAATAAAACCGCTGAAGGTCTGCCCACTCCGCCAAATGGTAGCCGCATTACTTTTGCGAAGAACCCAAACATAATCCTAGGGTCGTAACTACCATATATGCAATAAATGTGGACATAATTATACATTTAGAAAATAATCGGGCTGAAGGGCAACTCAGCTTATTATTCAGAAAGTATATTTCTAAAATGGAAGGTTGTGCGTGCCTATCGGAAAACCAGGGACCCAGGGAAAATCAGATCTCTAAGCTTAGTTCGATCTTTAAATACGTAAGATATACCATTCAAGAAATTTAATTTGAAGAGACTAAAACTGAACTAAATTCTAGCGTAGCAGTCGAGAGCAAGAAAAACTTTCTAGTTTTCAGGGCGATTTTCTAACATTCAGGGTGATTTTCTTTTTCTGAGTGTAGCGATAGCAAGAAGCATTTCCCAGAACTACGTGTAAATCAGTGAATCATTCTTGTTATCGAAACAAGTCCAAATAGCGCGCTGTCTGCGCCCTGTCGTCCCGTCGTGTGTACTCTAAACCACAATCACAATGGTCAGGCATTTAGCTCCAATTTTGAGGGGGAGAATCTTCAAGCGACATTCTTCTTGTCTGCCAGCTGCTGCTTTAATTGTTGTCTTTCAATTTTAATTTCATTCAATTAGCCTATGGAAATCTGACAAAAACTTACAGAATGAGCTGTGCGCGTGCGCATTGCGTTCGCAGCTTTAATTGTGCGTTGTTAGTCAGTTCATCAGTCAGTCCGACAGTCAGTTCGTCGGTACCTCATTCAGAGAGAATTAATTAAGGGTGGGCGGTACGAATAATATGTCTAATTGCATTTGCTCAGAGTCATTAAAGTTTGTGCTGCATTTCATCTTTAGGGGGAGTTAAATAAACTCCAAAGTTGAAGTTCTCTGAGAGCTATCAGCATTTATATATAAAAGCTGAAATGCATTTTACGAAGCCTTAACATTGGCATTGAGTAGAAAATGCTTTACCGAAAAAGCTGTGTTTGTGAAACTTAAGATAAGCCAAGTTAACTGAATAAATCACTGAATGAATCATTCAATTATAATCATCCAATTATTAACTGAGACTGTACTGCATTATGTGACTACAATATTCAAAGTTAATTTACATATTTTAAGCACAGGGTTCTGTTCATTAGAAGTATGTTACCATATATTAAAGACAAATGGCACAAATGTTAACGAACAAAATACTCACAGGAATAACAAATACAATAAAAGCAACAACAAATGTTTATTTAGCAAACGATCAACACAAAATACAATTTATGTAGACAAGCCAAAGTCAATCGATAGATAGGCGGTGTGAAAGTGTGTGTGTTTACAGAGACTGGAAATCCCCAACAAGAACAATTGAGACTACTTTGTTGGCGATGATACAACTTTGAGATACCCTTCAATTGGTTAATGAACCTATGAAAAATTCTTAAGAGCGATAGACTAAAATGGAACTTAATAAAAGTATATTTTACAAATGTCTTGAATATAAAGTGTGTCTGTTGTAAAATTGAAGAATAATTGAAAATGGAATTTGTATTGTGATTAAAAGGGGGCACAATCTGAATGCATATATGCACATTGGCAGCATCACTGTAGGGTATACGAGAGCAACAACACAGCCTCAAGCCGATCATGTAATAAAATTGATGATCAAACGAAAACTCTCACATTTTGTGCCGTGAATGCATTGGCAATGAGCGAGAATCGGGGCAACGTGAACGGAACTGAGATCAATCGTCTAATATTTGGTACGATTTTGGTTCTCGCTAAAAGCGAATAAATTCATTTTTAATATGTGTGTTCCAATGGCAGAAGAAAACACAAGAAAACAAAAGCGCCACAGACAACACATTATTGTTTTTCATATTTGTACAGCCCATCTTTATGGGTATATTGTTTCAGCAACAACAACAAGAACAACAACAGCAAACACAACAATAACAACAAGAACAACAACAGCATTAAAGAACACAAACAGACTGCGCGGCGTTTTTGTTTCAATGAATTTGCGTGCAGTCTTCGGCGGAACTAGTCATGTTTACAAACAATGCCCAACTACGGTACACATTATGCTAAAATTCAGGAAAAATTTACCAAAAATTTATATATATTTAGTATAGTCGTATATATATAACAATATGTGGCAATATATTTGACCAGTAAATTGGTGCACAATAAATTCATGCTAAGTCGCATCCGAAAAAGCGCATTGTTTATTTTCCAAACGATTTTCCTCCAGCAGTTGTACAAACATCAAACGACAAAAAGAAAAACGGAAATCTAACAGCGCAAAAAATCGAAAGCTAACAAAAACGCATTTTTATGTTTCGAAAAACGATTTGTTATATTTTGTTCATTGGCTACCCCAGCTCCTTCCTGTGCCGCATATTAAAAGCAAAAATCATTTTAACATACAATTATGAGTGGTAAAACGCACCACAATTGGTAAGTTCTGAGCGGGTTTCAGGGGTGGATAGGGGCGGGTAGGGATGTTGGGGCTCGCACAATGAGGTGTTATTGCAGTCGATAGATCAAAGCATTTACTTTCATGTTTGTTGCCATTGCACTTGTTGTGGCTGCAGTGCGTCTGGGCCGGTAAACTGGGCGGGGGTGGGAGTTGAGGACCTAGAAACGAGTACCGCATATGCATCGGGTATGCATAAGGTGTGAAGAAACTGGCAAACGGAAAGCAACCGAGTGTCTGATATCAAACAGACACTTTGGCAACTGTTTGAAGTGCAGTCATCGAGATTATGATTACATACACATAACACATCGGCGTTTATGGGCATAAATAGATGTTCCAAAATTCGGCTATAAACTTTGTGAAAGGAAGTGTGGATGTGCTTCGGTGTGAGTTGCTTATATGCATTACAAAGTCACATCCTTACTTCATTTTCG